TTTTTTTTTTTTGTTTTTAAAACAATTAAAAACTCTTAAAATAAATTAAATATTATTTCCAAGGAGATAATTAAAAAACTGGGACCAAGGGCACAGGTCTCTCACCTATGAAATGTATTTTGAACATAATTACGTGTCAATTACGGATAAGTTCGTAAAAATGCGCAATTTACTCAGTGAAAAAAAAAAAAAGAAATGTCATTCTCTATGAGAGCTGTGGATCGAAAATTTCTGAATTATAGAAATAAAAAATAAGAATTTTACACTTCTCGAAATTGCGATAAGATCAAGGGTCGATTCGTCTTGAAACGATTCGTTTCAATTCGTGTAACATCGTCATCACGCCAAGGGTTAAATAACTCAGCGAAGAAACATTTTCTTCGGCATCGCGCCCAAGGGAGTGTAAGAGTGGCGAATTCTGAAATTATTATCGATGTCGTGCAGCGACGGAAGAAGGTCGAGGAGCCTCTCACGCTATATGAAAAGGAAACCTCGCGAAAGAGAGAGAGAGAGAGAGAGTCGAAGGGTGAGCGCGCAAAAGCTGCTTTTGTCTTGAAGGGATTCTTGGACAGGTGATACGGCAACTTTGACGCCGAAATCGGCTCGGAAAATTGCCTCGCGACCTGATATTTCCACCCTCGCGTCGAGCACCGGGAAATTTCGATGGAATTAACCTCCGCTGAGCTCGCAACGAACAGTCGAACGTCACTTGTAATTCCATTTCGTCAGGGGAAATTTTTAACGTTATCAGGGAAACACTGAGCGCTGCTGAATATTCTGTTCGATTGTTGAAATATCGATATTGATGAGTCTCTTTGGACTCTCTGACAATAAAAAACTAACCTAATATTAACGACATCACCTCCCGATGACAAGCATCGCGCTTGCTTCTCGCACTTTTCCCTCGGATACACTTACGAAAAAAAAAAAAGAAAAGGGTGACGAAGAAGAGGGACAAAGAGCAATCGGTGGTGGCGAAGTGGGGCAGGGGAGAGCGAGGCCGGAAGGTCGCGAAACTAAATTTCGCGATGAAAGGGGGCAGTCGGGTCCGACCGAAACCAGCCTCTGCCGCGGCGGCAAAGAAAGCGGAAGTGGTCGCGGAGAGTAACTTTCGCGAAGTGGCAAGCTGGACGAGGCGGAAGTCGAACGTGGCGGAGAACTGGATGGAAAAGGGAACGAGGGGGGGCCTGCGAGGGTGAAGAAGAAAGGTTGGCAAAGATGGGCGAAAAGGCGAAAAGAAGAGAAACGGCGAGCCAAAATGGCTCTTGACGAATCAGGGCGTAACCCGCGATATACAGACGCGGACGTGGAGGAGAAGGAGGAAGTAGAAGGCGAAGAAGACTTTTGCAGAAAGAGGAGAGAGCCGTGAAAGCGGCTCGATGGTTAGGCGAGATTAGGGGCGCGGGCAGGCGTATACGAGCGAGGCGCTCTCGAAAAGCTCTCCAGAGGACTTCACCGGTAGGCCACTTCATCCTCGCTAAGAACTATAGCAGATTCTTTGGCTTCTTTTCTTCGCCACCGCGGCAAACAGGCCGCCGGACTTTCCAGCCAAAACCTTTGTCCCGATATCTCTCTGCCATCGACTCTCTCTCTGCGATCGTTTGACCTTTTTCGCAGGATATCGAGTGCCTCGGCATCGCCGCACTCACTATCTCTCGCTCGTCTATCGGTCGTCTGTCCTTTCTTTCATTCGCTCGACCAAAGTCGAGAATCTCTTTCGTCGTAACGTTGCCTGACGTCTACAGATAAAACATACTAGCTGAGAATGTTTCTCTTAAAATTCGACGCACGTTCCGAACGTGTATGTAAGACGTAAGCGAAGTGGAAATGAAAAATCAACGAGAGATATTTTAGAAAAATTAGAAGAAGCGACGGAGCTTTTCGAGACGAGAGAAGCAACGTA